CTCACTAGGAGGGAATACCCAACAGGAAGCGCGTTCCCTTTGATGAACAATGATGTTCCCATGTATCACTCTATGCACCATATAATGACTTACATGGCATTATAAATAATGAAGAATAAGCGCGTGTTCGTTGGAGGGCTGATTGTCGGCTGGACAATGAAAATACACCAAGAACAATATAATAGAAATTATAGTCTATAAGTTCATTCTCTCAGTTCATCAAATTTTTTCACTCTAAGATTCTTTGGAAGAGAGTCATGCCCATTTTCGTAGATCCTGTAGCCTTTTTGGTAGCCCAACGCAAGCTCAAATCCTCTCCAGATGCATCTAAAACATGTATTTGTGTTATTATCCAACTCAGAAAAATTAACGTCATACTCAAAGAAATACAAGGCAAAATTCATACCCATGGCAGAACTGTAAACATGTGCACTGGTAATCATATTCTGATACTTGATTGGCTGTTGTGCAGTAACTTCCACATATTCATCATATTGCTTACAGTGTAAGAACAACGAACCTAAGTAGAAAAATCACAACACATCAAATAATACGTTCAAAATATGTAGTCAAATCGTAACAATAATGAACACAATATATTGATCACATCATTTCATTTTGATACGAGTTGATCGTTGAACTTGGCTTTAAGCATATCCCATATTAGTAATTCACAATTTCCCGATGATATAAATCACATATGGTATAAACTTTTTAGGCCAAATCAAAAAAAGAAAGAAAAATCTGTCATGGGGAGTAGTCGATCTGATATCTCTGGTTGCTTTGAAATTGTAATTAACCACAACATTTATTGTTTCAGCACATTATTTCAGGCATTACATCAAATAGTTTAGAGTAATGTCATTCATTCCTAGTGTGGATGAAAACACAGTTTAAGTAGTTTTAAATGATAGGTTAAATGAAATGTGAAATTAAATGGCTTATTTAATTTCACATATCATTTAATGCCACATTAACGCCACATAGACTATGTTTTCATCCCCAGTGAAGATGAATAGCATTACTCAACAGTTTATGAACAAAGCCTGAAAAGGCTATCAAATGTCCAAAAACCTCGTTATTTATTTCATATTAAATACATTACCGTTAAAATATTTCCAAATTTCTTTTTCACAAGAAACAAGAAACTTTTTCTTCTTTTTGAATTTACCATCTCTTTTGCACGCAGAATTAATGACCGCAATTTCAACAACTTTGAATTTCAGTTACATATGAATATTTTTAGAGTTGTGAAGAACAGTAAATCTGGAAAAAAAAAAAAACCCACTACGTAGCATATTATGGATTTGAATAAGAAAGTAGTATTTTATGAAATGTTTAATTATTGATGGGTATA